TGAACTCCTCCATCTACGACTCCAAGGCCACTCTGCAGAACAACCTGCCGGGCGAGAAGCGATTCTTCAAGGTCGTGTCCTGGTACGACAACGAGTGGGGATATTCCAACAGGGTGGTGGATCTGCTGATGCACATGATCAGCGCATAAGCCCGAGTTTTGGGGTGCTCACGGGTGAGACGATGTGAGCACGCCAGCGAGACACGCACACTTGTGCCTTGCAATTCCTTTTGTAACATGTGTGCTGTCAAGCCATTTTCACCGCCACCGGGCTGGATCGAACTCTTGCGCTGTGGTGGTCCAAAAGTCCTTGTCCAAATCTTCGCGCAGGGGGAGGCAGGTGCTGCTGCAACGTGGATTTTTAGCTCAATGCAGTGTTTCACGCAGAGACCTGCATCTCGTCTTGCTCCGCTGGTTTGTAGGTTCTTGGCTTCGAAGCCTTCGATAGGATTACACATGCCGACGCTTCCAGAGGTTTAAGTCATCAAGCTGCTGTGTAGGGCGTCCTGGCTTCACGGACTTCAGTTGGTGGAGCTGTTCCCTTTGGAGCCTCACACCTTCTTCGCGTCATCCTTGCTACTAAGTTCGTTGTTATGTGCGCATGCAGCCCTACTTGGAGGTTCATGGGCAGTTATAAGTAGGGTTATAAGTCCTCTAATATGGGTTATAATTATAGTTAGCTTACTTATAACTCCACTTATAACTACCCATGAACCTCCAAGTAGAGCACGCCGCACCTGAGGGACTGGCTGTTTTGGCAGTTGGTACCCAGGCGCCCGCGCTGCCCTTCGCGCGTCGTAATTACACGTGCCCGCGATGTTCGGTTCAGAAAGAGGAAAAATGCATTTCTGGAGAGTGATTCCGAAAGTCCGATTCCAAAGCCCGACATTTTTAGACGCGTTGTGCCAGGCCTGACAGATGTCAAGTAATTCATGAACAGCGAACTCGTGGAAGTCCGATAGTTTCCGAAAAGACGGTGGTATAGACTCCATGTGACGAGAAACCGGAGAAACGGAGTTGTACTTGATCTAGCTTTAACCCAGTTGTGCCCAGGTGGGAGTTTACCTGACCTCCACAGTGTGGCTTCTGTGCGGTGGTGCCTACCGAAGGCTGGCTAAGATGGTTGGTGTCCGGCCTGATTAAGGCAGCTCAACCTTCAAACAAAAGTGCAGAGTTTTCGCACAAGGAGGCTGCTGCTTGCTGCATTGATAGAGAACCATCCGATGCTGCTAACCGTTATTGACAGGTACTTGCGACAGACGGTCGAGAAGTCCGTTCTTCGACCGGCGCTGCTACTGAGCCTGAAACCTTCAGGGTTAGGCTTTTGGGTGTAGGAAGTCGCTCGGGTTCCTTGCGGCTGAAGCCACTTGGGATGTGTTCCGTTGGAGGATCGTAGACGCCATGGCATGAGTATTTACATTCTACAAGGGTCTAAGAGGTTCTGTGTCGATTGCAGCGTTTCGAATCACACCGGCGCAGACAGTCCTCCTATTCTCACAACATGTACGTTCGAAAAGGCTGTTGGGGTCAGTTAGCCAGAGCATTCCAGCAGCGCGAAGCACAGAAACTAGTATGGAAGCTGTAGATAGTGATAGAACATGCTAGTACCGAAGTAGGATGAGACATAATCAGAAACGATGTCATATTTGCTCGTGCCGTGGTTTCAACGACGCAGGCTAATTATATTAGGCCCCTAAACCCTAAACCCTTATAGTAGCCCTTATAGATCCCTTTAAAGGAGCCCCCAAAACCCTGAGCCTTCGATAGCCGAGGCTTTCCGGTCTCCTCTACGGCCTTGCTGTCGGGGGACCCGCTCTGCAAGTTTTCGTGTCAAGGCATCAGGCAGAGGATGGAAGGGGTTTGCTGACCAAGAAATACGCATGTGTCTCGGTATAAATGTATATATATATATATACTATAGAGTATACTTAGTGGGTTTGTCACTAATCATATGTTACATTACATATATACATATATACACAACTGTCAGTATTTTCATGTATGTATATTTGCAGTAGAAATGGCCTCAAATAACACTGCCAGAAATCGACAACTAGACTGGAGGTTCTATGCTTCTTGTACAGCATGACTGCCTGGCCCTGAGCGTGTTGAAGCTGCTGCCTACGCTGCTGGGTTCAGGGTTTAGGGTTTCGGGGTTTAGGGTTTAGGGTTTAGGGTTTGAGGGAGCCTGGAAACCAGTTGCTCTAGCTGTATTTCTTTTAAGCTGAGCAGCGATGGGAGCACGGTTGAAGGGGTGATGCTTCGCAGTAGGTCGAGAGCCTTTACTATGCGAGAAATGAAGGTGAAGAGGAAGAAGCAGACGATGGCCATGATCATCATCAAAATCATGATCATGATGACAATGGTGAACCTGATGATGATGATGATCATCATCATCATCATCATGATGACGGTTATGATCTTGGACTGGAATCATACAGTCCATGGTTGCATGCTGCGCAATCAGTGTGAACTCCTGAAGTCGTTCAGACCTGCTCCGAGGTGTTACCCTTTGCCATTGGCTATGCGCTTGGCTGCGGAGGTGCTTTAGCTGCCCCTGCGGCTGCATGTGTGTCCGAAGTTTGGCGGTCCATGTGCGACTCGCAATTCGCGACTTCGTTCAGGCAACGTTACCACAAGTCACACCACGAACTTTGGTCTGGATTTATGTGTTAGGGCGGCTGTTGGGCGAATGGCAGGCCGAACAACGACTTGTTGGATCTTGTATCTGTGTGATATGTTGTGATGATTCTCGTTTCAAGCTGCAGGGCTTGTCGGCTCATCGGGAGTGGTGAGTTGCCAGATATCCGGTAGCAGACTTCAGGTTATATTGTTCGGCAATGCAGACAGTTGATCAACATCCCCTTTTGTTCAAAGATCCTTAATATGTGGATTCCTACCAGTGTCATATGACAGGACGTGGACTGTTAAACAGGGTCTGTATTGCGCTTCTTTGTCGTTCTGCTTGAAACCTGAACAGCGGAACTAGCCCTGCCATTGCAATTTCGAAAACCGAAGCCCGAAACCTGGCCCTAAGTCGTCTTCGCACAAAGTCACGGAGGCAAGGCCCTGAATCCCTAGGCCCTGGAACCTTCATAGTCACCCTTGACAGAACCCTTACAGTTCATGACCCTGGGCTTCAGTACTGCCTGCCACCAGGCCCAGAAGCAGAAACAGGGCCGGGCTTTTTAGGGTTACAGCTTCAGGGGTTGAGTTGGGGGGACTTAGGCCTCTCAAGCCGTACAAACTGCAGTGTGAGCTCGGCTTACGTTATTCTAACGTATCGTCAGTAGATTTCAGTAGTATAGACTAGTCTGATTACTGGCCTCGATATATAGGACTATTACCGAGGTTAGCTTGCTTTGGGGCGTGCTGGCCTTCGGCGAGGTCCCGTCCTGCAACGGGATCAATGGTGGTAGTTCCTTGCTGGGTTTGCATGCGGCAAGAAGGCCACTCGGCCAGAGCCTACGAACCTAAACAGCTGAGTAACCCAAACAAAGCCACGAACCTAAGCAGCTGAGTAACCCAAACAAAGCTACGAACCTAAACAGCCGAGTAACCCAACAAAAAGCCGACATTGTCGCCCGAAGCCCCGAAAGCCCCCGACCCGAAGCACGATCCAAAGCGCCTGAGAGGCGGCCAGCACGCACAACCGCCAGTGCATCCTGCCCCTCGGACATCCCTAGGCCTCGCTGAATAAACTCGAAGGTCTCAGATTTCCCAACATGCTTTGCTTGCTGAACTATATAGGGCTTAGGGTTTAGGGTATACTATACCTTAAGCCATCTTAGGCAGCATCATATTTCTTTCAAGAGTATTTGTTATGAAGGTATCTTGGAAGATGTGCGTTTTTGAGGCATAATCAGATGTGGTGGGTACTGTAGGATGTGCGGTGCGAGCTCGCGGGTGGACGGCGGGATGTTGAGCCTGTAGATGCGATTGATTTGGATCGTGTGAGTTGCCGAAATCGATTCCAGCTGGCTTGGCTTCGGGCTTGCCATATTCATAGGCCAACATTTTTTTTGTGTAAATGCATGGCAGACAGAGCTCAGGTGCTCCTTCTGCGGGGTCTTCACGGGAATCGTCCTTTTGGGCGTTGCCGCCTAGGACCCCTGCCGTCGAGGCTCTGGAATTATGGCAGGTGCTGATGGTAGTCCGTTTCATTGCTGCTGCCGTCGTTTCGGGCTTCGTTTCGGTTCACTCTTGTCTTATAATGTCTATGTCCTCAGCAGTAGCGAAGAGAATCCATGTACGTGTGCCAGCGCAGCCAGCTGGCAGAACAAGCGCCCGCGAGGCAGCTCCAGCAAAGCGAGTCCAACAGTCAAGCGGGTCGTAACTTGCGTACTTGCTGTGCGAAACGAGGATATGGTCCATGGTGCCCTCGACTCTAGCGACCGATGAGCTAAAGTTTTTAGTTTCTGTACCTTCTACTCAGACGAGTCGGAAGTTATACAAACACAGCCCGGTTGTGGACTCTAAACCCTAAACCCTAAACCCTAAACCCTAAACCCAAAACCCTAAACCCTAAACCCGCTTCCTTCGCCCTTGGCTGCAGGCCTCGTCGGGTCATTGAGACCGTGGGTTGTGCGCCTGCACTCCTGCTGTCTAGTCTGGGGACTCCCCGGCCCGAAGACCTTGCGATCTAGGGTTTCGGGTTTAGGGTTTAGGGTTTAGGGAGCAGCCCTGATACCCCAACTCCTATGCACCCGCGCATCGAGATTCCCAGAAGAGCCAAAGTCCGGCCCCCAGGGTCCCTGGAACTCTCATCCTTGGAGGATCATGGGACTTAGTAGGGTTTAGGGTTTAGGGTAAGTATGGTTATAAGTCCCCTAATTGGGGTTATAAGTAGAGTTACCCTAGTTATAGCCCTACAAACTAAGTCCCATGATCCTTTAAGTCCTCTTTGGCTTTCCCAGCGATCCGAGTCAAGATTCCCTTTCGAAACCTCAAGCTCAGGCCCGGGTTCCCTGGGCCATGTCCGCTTTTGCATCGCCGGGGAAGTCCACAGCTGCGGTAGTGCAAGAAGCATCTTTTAACGCTGGGGGTTTGGGGTTTGGGGTTCAGGGTTTCAGGGTTTAGAGTTTAGGGTTTAGGGTGTGCGTCAGGTTTAGGTCGGCCGCGACATAGGTATGACTCCGGAACGTCCACCGGGCCTTTTGCATCAGGTGCGAACGTGTAGGATGGTTTGTGGTCTTTGTTCACTAGACGGTCTTAACGCCTGTACAATCGGTGATGAAGAAATAAGCACCCTCCCATCTTGTTTCTTTACGGGGCGATCAGCACCAGGAGATCACTCCAGCCGTCTCACTTCGCTTGTCTGCAGCCGCCAGCGGATGATCGTTTGCGAGGTCAGGTCGAGAAAAAGCATGTCGCACTCCAGTTCCCAAGCATCTTGAAACTAAATGCGGAAGAAGAGACCGAGTAGGAACAAGGACTGTTGACAGTCATTTCCGGAATCATCAGCAGCAGCAGCAGCAACATAAACATAGAAGTGCCAACGACGAAGACCAAACACTTTCTGTAACAAAGCAGGGTCGACAGTTCACAAAAATTCAAGGTTACACAACCAGACATCAACAGTAGCAGCCACACTTGAAAAATTAATGCTTAGGGCTTAGGTTCAGTGCGACCATATCTGCATCTTTCCAATCATGGCCCCTGATATGTCCTGAAATCACAGAGTCCTGTTTGCGCTTGGAGGATCCTCATGTAGGGCAACCAAAGCCACACCCGGATTTTTCAAGATCCTGAGCAGCTTCTTTGCTGCTTTTGGCTCGCTGTAGCTACAGTCGAAGCAGCTTTGTTTCAACGCGGAAATCGCCGCAGGTCCCGGAGGCTCCCTGACCCTGACAAGCCCTGACGCCCGAAATCTCATGAAACTGTCGATACCCCGGAATAGAGCAGCGGCAGCGAGCTTCCAAAACGATGGCTGCTGGAAGCATTCCCGGCTGGATGCAGTTGCACAAGGAGGAAAGCCGTGCAAGGCAGGAGCCCTGGTGCTTGCAGCACGGTTTGGAGTGCTACAGTTACGGGTTGCTATCGTGGAGGTATGTATTGCGGAGCATCGCACCATGGAAGCGGAGCGTGCCAAGACCAAGGATAATATAGCGGCCTTCACATAATTACCTATACTATTTTGGGGTAATCATAGTATGATATACCCCAAAGCCCTATTCTAATTGTCAAGGCTCTATAGTATAGACGGGGAAGGAGAGGCTGAGGCGCCCCAAGAGACAAGCCGAGTTAAAGCATGACGAAGGACGTCACCGCACTTCAAGTGTACTATCCTTTCCGGTGCTACGATGTGCAGAGAACCTATCGGGATCACACATGTCGCTGCGGTTCCGGGTTAAGGGGTGTTTGGGTCAAGCTCCTTTCGTGGATCCGAGTCCTGGAGAAATACGTTTTCATCGCTTAACGTAAAAATTTAAGTACCCATGTTGGTGGGTTCCAGTTCTTCGATCCTTGTGATGGTTGCATATTCAGACGCAGCGGTGCTTGCCGGGAACCCGCTGCCACCTGCAAGGGCCCAATTGCCGCTGTCACATGGGTGGTTGTCAAAATTATGGTCCCATTTTGGGTCCTTATTATAATACGGCACCTAGTATTTAGGGGTACCCCAAAAGGGACCATAATTTTGACAACTACAAACATAGATAAGCATGCATCTTCCAGCGCCTACTCTCCTATGACAGCCGGCCTGAAAGTTCACGCTCACGCGCAGAACCTGTGCAAAATCCGTTTCAAGCTCTCAGGATTCGGCCATTCTTCTAGCAAGTGGTTTAGGGTTTAGGGTTTAGGGAAGTAGCCTTCTACCTAGACCCACGACAGACACAAGCAGGTTTTCCAAAAGAACTTCTGCTGCCCACCCAACCAGCCGAGGCCCAAAGGGCATGGCAATATAAACAGAAGCAGCGGTCCTCATTCCCCTCATTTTTGCCGCGTGGCAAAGTGTGATCAAAGAGACTTCCACTTCAGAAGCCGCTTGCAACGCGACTGGTATCCGCCCTAGCCCTAGACTCCAAAATCTTAAAAAAACCCTAAACCCTAAACCCTTCAACCCTCTCCGAAGCATCGAGAGCCGAAGCAGCCTCCCATGGCGGATGCCGCGCTGAAGCGGCTGGAGACGCTGCTGCAGACGGGCCTTGAGGAGCTCGCTAGATTGAGGGCCTTAAGGTATAAAGTGCTATGTCTATCTATCTATGCATACATACATA